TAATAAGAGTCAAGCTAGGTATTAGGACAGTTGTTTATTATAGAAGTCAGTATCTGTGTCATATTAAGTTGACCAGTTTAATCATATTAGTGTTAACTTACACTTTATCGTGAGTACATAATAGTACCATGTGTTATAGTTAGTGTAGTTCTCACTATATATGCTTGTATATGACTTTAGTGTTCAGTAGTTTGATAGTTATAGATGAACTACTAAGTTTATTAAAGATAACATGAACCATCATTCAGTATATACACTTTGTAAATACTTTATTATTGTACTTTGTTCTTTGCAGATATCATTGCTGCCTTATGGTTTTACTAAATAAATTGGTGAACCTAAACAAAAGTCTTATCGCTTGGCTACACATTTAAACTATTCCGTTGTATTTTAATATTAGATGCTAAAATATAAATAAACAGTGAATAAATAATTCAAACAATTTTTTCTGCACATACATGTGTACGTATGAAATTTTAAATCAATATTTTAATAACACTATTTTTATTGCCGTAAAACACGAGTAATTGTTAACGAACACGTGTAGTATAAAAGATAAAATTAATATACTAGTTCTGCTTAGTCTTTTAACTAATAAAAAATGTGGACTTCAGAAGAGAAAACTACTACTTATAGAATGAATTTATTACATTGTACCACAGTTGTAAAAACTATATACATGTACTATATAGTTCGATGTCACGGCGATTCAGTGTAAAATAATGATTTTTTATTAATTTACAAAGGTCTGATGACGTATTACATAAAAACACTCGTATTTTTAAAATTTAAATGCAATAATATTAGATATTTATTTGCTATTTTTATTTTGTATAATTATTTTTTTAGCAGAGTTTTACATGTAAATGTATATCTGAAGACATTTCCCGACTGTGATTATACTCGGAGAAGATAATGAAAAGAGGCATTATAATCATTTGTAGTAGATTAGATTTTCAGAACTAAATAAATAATATATTGTTGTCATAGTTTTATTTAACAGGACAAATGTAAGAACAAGACAGACTTTAGAGAGAGAGAAAGAGAGAGAGAGAGAGAGTTAAGCCCCCTTGATTCTCAGATATCTGTTGCATCGAATAAAAATTCATATCATTTTTTTCTTCTAATATTCCAGGCAATCAGAGTAATCATTTTTTGGGAAGAATAACAAATCCATTTGACAGTAGCCTAAGCATCGGCTTTTATTTTCCGTCATTAATTGACACGGTTCACCCGAAGTGCACGTGCTTGTCCTGGCTGTCAATCAAAATAATTTGACACAATGGAGGTGTGGAAATCTCGCTTCACCGAACATGCCGAAGTCAAAGAGTCGATTATTATTTCCAAGAAGTTTTAACATTTTTTACATAATTTCTACATTTGATTTTCGCTTTTCTACGAAAAAAAAAATAAATAATGAAAATACATGTATATACCTGGAAGGAAGATTGGAATTGAATTTGAAACATAATTCCTGCCAAATTAAAATACCAATGTCGGCACATGTATGTATATAATGACTGTGTTGAAGTTTGTTTTCAGAATGATTTTTTTGTGTTACAATACACATTCGATATTAATTGATATATACTGAAAATACTAACTAAGGATTTGATTTTGGGAAAAAAGGGCGCCGGGAGGGGGGGGGTGTCTTTATCATACTGAATGGCAAACATATATTTTGTTACGGTGAAGGAAGGGTTTTTCCTTTCTAATAATACACTTTATATATGTGAAGTAGAAAAAATTCTAATGTTTTACATTTTAAACAGTTGTTTTTTTCTAAAATTTTAAATCACACTATCAATTAAATTCGCTCTATTAATATTTAATTAACTGAATATCTGCAGTACTGTTCATAATTCCCAGACCAATATGTAGTTCTACCATGTTTTTGTGCATATTTTCTTTAAAATAAGTGTTAGAAATAATTTTTTTGTTCATTCTTGTCTTGTAAAAGACTTGGATTATTATCCATCCATATACGATTTGTCGTCTTTTACATTACAACAAAATGCCGCGCTTGAAGTATTTGTACATTGTCCTTATTTAAATTTTATATTTTAGCATCGTTCTACTTACATGTAGGTTATTAATGTATTATTTTCCAGGGAAAGTGTATGGATAAAGTAACAGCTAAGTTATAATAATAGAAATTTAAATATCGTAGATACTTTTTTTGCATTGAAATAATTATTCTTCAAACACGATATCTTAGATATTTAATTAAGAAACATGTAAATCCTTACCATCAAAAAGATACGTCCTTTCACTTCGGAGTTCCGAATGACAATAAAGACTGAACGGTGAACGCAAGGTGAACGCAAAGTAAACGGAACGAAGAGCGAACGGCGAACGTTTTGTGAACGGTGAACGCGAGCGCACGGTAAACAGTGAACGCAAAACTGTGAACGGAGAGCGAACGGTGAACGCACGCTGAACGAACAATGAACGAACGGTGAGCGAACGGAAAAATGGGAAAGTAGAACGTTTCGGGGACTGTATAACAGTATTGTTTATTTTAGATTACTATTTTTCCATGCTGGTTACAGACAAAGCGGGTTTTTTTTTTACAGTGAAATGTATTATGGTGGATCTTATATATCCATTAAATTATTTCTTATGAATTCTTTCAACGAAGTCAGACAAATAAATATATTCTGAAAATCCAGGAAAAAATTGAGCCAATTTCAACGTAAAATTGACACTTATTTTTATCATATCTGAAAATTTACATCATATACCCCCACTTTTGATGTTCTTTTCGAAATATTTAAGATAACCTTGACCTATTTGCTTAAATTCAGAAAAAAAGTTTAAGACTTTAAAAAAATTATCTTGCTTATTAAATTTTCAATGCCAGAAAAATTACATTTTATTAGTGCAGAAAGGTCAAATAATTGATTATGAGAAACAATTTGAAACTTTTTCTTAGCCACAATCTTAAAGTGTCTTTCTTTTAAATGGACTTAGAGTTTATTTTGTTTCATGCTTTAATTCGATAAAAATATTAGAGAGAAACGGAGAAGATGTAATTTTTAATTAAGACACAATTTTCAGTGCAAAAGGTCATATTAAATGTACTGTAGCGCCAAAAGAAGAATATTGAGCCTCATTTTTTGATTTCAATTTTAATTAAGCTATGTATGAAGAAACTAAAAATATTCTTGACAAAAAAAGTTTAAGACTTTAAATATTAGGATCCAACGGGTTGCTGCTGGTTTTATCAGTTGTATAAAGTATTTCTCCTTGTTTCATCTTTTCACTAAATTGTCAGTATAACGTTTAAAAAACGGAAAAATAATCTGAATCCGGCCACAAATATCCAGATGTCCGCTTATTTTTTATTTTTTGTATTCAGGCTGGTTAATGTGTAGTTTGTGTATGCGAGCACGTATACGTATGTGGTTCCAGTTTCCCAAATATAAAATAGTCCATATCCTGCACATGTAATACAGTAAATTACGTTTTTAAACTTGCATGTCATGTCTGCTTAAACAATTAAATCTTTATTCCCGAAATTAAAGTTTGTTCCACAAATGAAATCGGAATGCTTTTTGACTTTTATTGATTTTTGTTAATGAAATGAAGATTTGCGTAATATCCGTCGTAGATTCCTGAATTGTCTTTTGTTGTTAAGAAACATTTTCTAAAACTTTTGACATTTTCCTCATCGGTTTTAGAACGTTAACAGTTTGTGCGTTGGATTGTGCATAGCAACAATATGTAGGCCTAATACCTTTCAATCTGAGTTTTGGCTTCTGGTAGCATTGATAACTAACGGATATTTTCTGTCAAGTTTTACCGCCTCAAGTTTCTAATCCCGCCTTCAATAATACCTATAGGAAAACGCTTTTCAAGAAGAAACGTTTTGAATTCACTTAGACATTTATCTCTTATTTGTTTGTCACTTAGACATTTATCTCTTATTTGTTTGTCACTAACTATAGTACACATTATTCTTGCTATGCAATAAGAAATTGGACGTATTGAACGGCTTGGACGGCAAGAACTAAAGTGAAGGTATTGATAGGTATCTGCTGGTTTATAGTAAATATCCGTAGATAACCGTTCCTTACGTTTGGTTATTAGCAAAAATAGAATGCTTCGAGAACTTTTGTCCCTTGTAAAATTGATGTCTATAAAACGATAAAGTGTTTCCGTTTTAACAAGTGTTGCCTTAATATTTTATTCACATATTGAAAAATATATATATAAAATCATGTAATACAAAGAAATAACATATAGTATTCAAGCTCAAAAGTCCATTAAACAAATCCAAAATAAGAGCGGAGTAAACACATCCCTCCAAAACATCAGGTACCATGGAGTAGTGAGCATCCCTTTTCGATCGATCACATCCACCGTGTGCACCTTGAATGATAATTGGGAAAAAACGGAAAATCTGTCGAAATGCAGTCTGCCTTACAATGTTAATGAAAAACGTCAGTCAGCATTTGACTTAATGATGATTTATATTTGCTATCAAGGTAATTAAAACGTGACTGCTGATATTCTTGCTTGTTCGTCAATAACTTTCCATGTGTGAAAATTTTTTCACAAGTAGAGCATACTTTTGCGTATCAAATTAATTTGCCTAATGGGAAAAGGGAATGCTGTATAGGTGAGGGAAGTTAACGATTGAAAAGTTATCATCTCGTTTGTCATAAAGTTTGGTTGTTAGATTACCATTAATGTCCTTTTCATGTTAAATATCTAAATATGAAACATACGTGTCAGGCTCTTTTTTAAGCTCACCGGGATATATCGTATCGACATAAGAATGGAAATAACCATTGTTAATTGGCAATATGTCGTCGATAAACGTATCTAAATGTCGACACATTTTCAGGAAAGTCTTAATTATCCCTTAATATGATTAAAGAGATAATGTGGTAAAATTCAAATTTTATTTAATATTCTGTACATGTATTTCAATTAAAAAAAATATTAAAGTAAAATTTACGGGATTAGGGATAAGCATTTGAAAATTCACAGTATTTTCTTCTTTCCCAATCTTTATTTCCCAGATCCCATTCATTAAAAATTATTATATAAACTACTTAACTGGCAGCTACCAGGGATGGAGCCCTGGTGAAGCTCCATTACATGTAAAACATTTTAAATACGTGTTGCATTTCGCAGAATGCTTCTAAAGATTATATATATTTTTAAAAAAGACAGAAAGATAATACATTTTTAGACTTACAAATTTAACACCAAAAAAACTTCATAGTCAAGCAAGAACAAGTTTATGAACCCATATCTTAAAATACAATTAAAATGTCTAAATATGCGTGAGAGGAAATTAAAAGTTTAAGATTAATCCTGTTTGCAATAAATTTTAAACAATTTAATCATGTCTTTGTTACCATTTTCCTCAGCAGTTTTTAGAAGATCTACGTTTGGTATGTCCAACAGTGAGCGATGATTTTCTATCATATATTTGCACAATTCGTATTTGTGATTCTTGCAAGCAAGTTTCAGAATTGAACTCCCTTTTTTTGTAATTTGATGAATGTCCACATAATAATTGACCAACAGTTTGAATACATCTATTTCGTCATCCTCAAACTTTGACGGTCCTGCGGCCAGCATGTGCAATGCGTTCCAATGTTTGCTTGTCAACTGATTAGCCATTTTAGGGTATTTGCCTAAAAGATATTTACAAATGTCATGGCGAGCAAATTCACTTGCTACATGCAGCAGAGTATGATTATCTGCAACTGCCTCTTCGTTAGCGCCATTGTTTTTTAGAAGTTTTATTATTTCAAGATCACCTCCCTCTGCTGCAGAAAATATAGGAGTTCGATTCATATTGTTTTCTTCTTGTATTAGATATGGCCAGGATTGTATTATTCGTTTGCACATATTCAACCGCCCTTTATGACATGCGATATGAAGAATAGTGTCACCTTTTTTTGTTTTGGTGATTAAATTTTGGCTAAATTCGACAAGTATATCAAACATCTCAAGATATCCTTTAGCAGTCGCAAAATGAAGTGCATTCCATTTCTGATTATCAACAGAATCAAGTAATTCTGGATATTTCTCAACAATGTATCTGGACATATCTTGTTGATTGTTCGAACTGGCGATGTGCAAGATATTTCTTCCTGTTTTAGTTAATTGCTTGGGGTCGATGTTGTTATTTACTAACAATTTCAAAACTTCAATATTCCCGCCTTCAGACGCAAAATGGACTGCATGTCCCCCACGCCTGTCGATCATAGCAAGCAGATCATGGCTTTTTGAGAGAAGATACTTGCAGATTGGTACATGACCAAATTGCGAGGCAATGTGAAGTACTGTTTTACCCTTGTATGTAACCGAATGCAGTTGAAACCCCTCATCAAGCAATTTACGTAAAATATCAATGTTACCACCTTCACAAGCAAAATGCAAAAGAGAGTTCCCTTCATTGTCTTTTGCAAAAAGAATTTCTTTTTCGGCCTTGATCTTCTTGAACTCATGATCAAATTGGTCCTTGTTTCCTCTTGAACAAGCCCTTTGTAACGATTCGATATGCTTAACATCTTCAACCCCGAATTCCATGTCCTGGTTATCTCTCTCAGTATCGAGTCTTCTTCTTTCTAAAATGTAAGCAAATTTATGTGATTTAACTTTTTGAAATACAAAGATATTCTAAAACTAAAATTTATGCATTTACATGTCCACTTTTCTTCAAGAAAATTTAAAACAAAGTTTTGAAAATTATCATACCAGGAGAGAATACCCTTTCAACCTTTTCGTAATCACGGTGAACAGAATCCTAGAAAAAATTAAACAAACTCTTAGTTTGCTTTTTCAATCGTAATCCAGAAAGTTTCTCATATATTTGAGATCAAAAAATATATTGAATGCCGTAAAGGGAAGAAAAATCTTATAATGCGTATTTTTAAACAACACTTTAAAAAGGAAGCTTAAGCTACTATAAATAATTACAATACCTCTTCCAAAATCTTGCACAAATCAATCACTGGGACTTGATGCTTTTCTGTTTCACAAAGAAGACATTGATTACTTTGAGACTTTTTCATTTGATAAAGTTCTTCTTTGGACAAGAAATTTGCATCTTTGGGCTCAGAGATATTTGTTTCTTTACATCTACATCCCATGGCAAATGGAATATCTGTGTGGAAAGTTTGTGTCAGATTTTGGAGAATGTTGTTAATTTTCTTCAAGATATCAAATTTCGCAGCTTCGGGAAAACTCCGAGTTTCTAAAAATTGGATATCAACGATATTTTCGTTGGTTTTAATTGCAACATCAACATTATCGAAGCTCAAAATGCAGGCGTTTTTGAAAAGATATTTAAATCCATGCTCTTCGAGTATCACCCAACCATTGCTGCTTACACAAGAAACAATGAACCTCCAAAATAAAAAGTTAGGGAAAAATTCAAACCTGAAGCTGACTAAATAGCTTTGAGGACATTTTCTTGTAAATTCTTCTGATACTGACTTTTTGTTCATGCATGGTATAAGATGGATATTATCGGTTTTTTCTGATCCTTCCGATAATAATCCTAAATGTTGCATGTAACTTAAAAGTTCTTTTTTATACTCAAAGAAAGATTCACCAAAGTCTTCGCTTTCTTTCCAAATGTTTTCAAGTAAATGATCATGTAATTCCCCTTTTTCATAGAAAATTTCCCAGAGCTGGTCAATCTTCAATCGTGTTTGCTTCTTGTGTTGATCATCTGTTATTATATTTTTGAAGGCATCTACAAACCACTGAACATCAAGAATGACCGTTTCATCTAAGCCAGTACTATCAAAATATAGAATCGTTCTAATTTCATGAAAAAATCGCAAAGCATCTTTCAACTGTTTCATCCCCAATTCTATGTGGCAACTCAAATTCTTGCACAGTTCCTCTAATTTCTGTATCTTTATTACTTTTGACTTTTCTTTTTTTCTCCTTGATATTTCTTTTTCAACGACTACCCATGAGCTTGGAAGTTTTTCACCCCAGTAAGGTTGTTTTTCTACCGTGTCAACAATACACTGCTTGATATCATCTACACTCTCGAGTTCACATGTCTCATCCATAGGTAGAAATAGTGTAAACATTTTCTTTTCTTTATATGTTACCAAGTGCTGGCTGAGAAGTTGATGATCCAAAGCTTCAAATAGTTCTTCTTGGAACTTGTCAATATCCTCGAAAAATAAAATAAAATAAATCTCACATATCATTTGATTTACATGTATCTAGCTGATTTAAAGTTGAACACGATTCCCAATAGGGATATTTTCTGCTTAATTGTCTCGGTAATTGGCTCTCTATATATAGTAACCTTAAGATACAAAGAGAACGATCGAATATGGCGGATAATTTTTTGTGAATAATGTTCAGCCTTAAGATTTTATAAATTACAAAACCCTTGTGTTTACTTTCGATGAGATACTTTTAAATGCATACAAAATTTCATATTAATCTACACAGGAAAACATATAAAGTCATTTCTGTAAGCCTTTGTAATTATAAAAGCTACATGAATTAGAGTGTTCTGAAAAATGCATGTGTTGCCTGCTTTATAACATCATAAACGAGGTACATAACTTTAATTGTGATAAGAATAATTTTTCTTAATAGTATAATTGCTTTATGTGTTTTGCTTGTAGGGGAAAAAAAATTCAGGACAGCAAATATAAAATGAGAATTAAATCAAATCAAGTCTCAATAAAGAGAGTAATGAGACTGAATTTCAGAAATTAGAATGATTTTATGTGTTTTATTTATCCTTAGAGAGATTTCAGTGTGATCTACTGAACTATTAGACTACATTTTAATGATTTAAAACGGAATCCGTTTTAGTAAAACAATTCATTATTGTACGATCATATCATGTGTGACAACTCTTAAATAATGTACCGAAAATAAGGTGTATATCAGTTCTATATATTCTGTTAAAAAGTAAGTCAAACGTCAATCAAAAGGGTCAAAAGGCCAAGTGTCAGTAATTATGTTAATCATGTTAATTGCCAATATCTAAATGTGGAGTTGAAGGTTAGAGCAAGTATTTTCTTCTTATCATGCATGAGACTTTGCACAAAGTCTGCTTCATATGAATAAAAATTTGGTTGGCTCATAGCGGGGCGCAATTGGTACCAATGGAATTCCAATCAATTGTTTGAAGACCTGGTCACCAAAATACAACATACATGTAGAAATTGTCAATCAGAAACTGAAGAATCTTTTTGATGTCAAGTTCAGAGTACTTGTATGAACAATCAAAAAATTTCCAACAAAATAATTTTATGAATTACCAAGGACAAGGTAAGTAAAATTACAAGTTCCACTTTATTAAAAAAAGCAGCTGTCAGTGATATCAAAAAGACTAAACTTTAATTTGTCGTGGGAAATGGTTTTGTGCAAAAGTTCTTTGGAATTCTTAAGTATCTACATCATAAGTATCAATTTCATAAATCGACAATTTTAATACACAAAAATAAATGTATTTTTTCACTGCGCAAGAAGATTGGCATATTCAGTAAGAGATATGATTACATTGTTTGTATAATGAAAAATGCTCATTTTGATTCTTTAAACAGCTATCTTTGTTTAAAAAGTTTTGGCTATGCTGTCTAAAATTAAAGCTTAAAAAATAAATAAATGCTTTGATTTTTTTTACCGTTTTTTGTTTATTCTCTGCATGCGTGGCAATAATTATCACGGGTGCATTTGGACTGCTGTACGTGTGTATGGATTTCATCCAAAATTCATAGAAATCTAAATGCATTGAGAATTATAAGAAAACTTTTGTACAATGTACATATATATATATACTATAATATAATTGGTGAAACAAAAATTAAAATTACCCCATAATTATCTTTTTATCAAATACTAGTTGTGTCTGAATAAAACAATACCTCTGTATTTCCAAGAATCGAAAACAGCGCCGCTATGATCACACACATCTTTGCCCACTTCATCATTTAAATCTTTTGACATATCTACAACTAATATGTAGAAGGCCCGTGCACTTAAATAAATCTGATGGCAGGCATAGTAAGCGGACTGACCAGCAAAATCCAGCAGCGTAAGTAGCTGTATGCATCTTTCACTATCCCCAAAAATAACGTTTTTAAAAGTTTTAAGAAGAGGCTTTAAGGTATGTTCATTTGATAACAAGGTATGTGATCCGTCCTCTCTGTTCCATTTGCGTGAGTTTTCTTGTGGGGTTAACTCGGGTATTGGAATTTCTTGTGTTGACGCAGGAGTTGTAATTGGATTACTCTCTTTTTTTATGACAGGAGTATCGGATTGATTATCCTGTTTTTTCTTTTTAAATTTGGTAATCGTTTTTGTGAATTTGAAACCAGAATCTATATTTCTTTGATGTGAACTAAAGTTAGCTTGATCTCTTTCTTTGTTAATTGGAAATTGGTAAGCAAGAACGCTATCCTGGGGAATGCGAAAATAATCCACTTCTTGGTATTCATTTACTAAAAAAGGATCATAACATATTATTAGAAGGATATCAAGGAAAATCATGTTTTGCGACGAAAATAATGAAAATAACGTATTGTTACATTTTTCTTATACTACCTAAGAGTCGCCGATTCTCTACTCGAAATACATCGGGGTACACTTTGACTCCTTCGGTCCGTTCAACATTTAATATTTCTGGTCTAGGACAGTCTTTTAATCGTTTAAGAAGAGTTGTTTTTCCTGCTCCAGCACATCCAACAATCATTCCTTGGGTATGATATACGGGCTGTTTCCCATTATTTAGGTATCCAATATACCTCTGAATGAAGTCTTTACCCCAAGTCAATACTTCAACGGGAATGTCATCTGGTTAAGAAAATCATTAAATGAAATATGTCAATGACATATTGAAAGTAAAATTATACCCTCAGAAATATATCTTTAGAAATTATTTGTCTGTTCATCTCTGGACATTTTTACTAGGAATGACAATCGAATACAGTATTGCTAATCGGTATACTGCACGTGTCTTGTTTCCATGAAAAAGAACTTCTGTAAGTTCTGTATCTCGTTTTTTAATCAACAAATGAGGTTCAAATCTTTGCTGGTCATTAGATGATGCCTTAGTTAGGAATTGAAAACATTAGAATTGATTCTAAAAATTCAGTTGAAACTGTATCCATGTCACTTTAATAGATTATTTTAAATTGCATATTTGAAAAAAATTTAAATATGAGAGAGAGAGAGAGAGAGAGAGAGAGAGAGAGAGAGAGAGAGAGAGAGAGAGAGAGAGAGAGAGAGATTAAACATACATTTCCTTGAGATTTCTTCGTGAATAGAATGGTCCTGTAAAGTTTGATGGATTAATATTTTCTGTCCAAGTTTGTCAATGAATTTTTTGTCATATTCATGAGGTAGAATAATACATCGTTCATTGGGAACCTTCTGGTATCCACTTGTTCTACAAAATTCTGCAACGGTTTCTTTTTGTGAGTGTTTCAAGAAAAAATCAAAGCGATCCTCTGTGAATGAATTCTGTCGGAAAAAACTCCAGAATATTTCATAAAATAAATCATCTGGAACTTCAAGTATGGCATCAATGTTAGATATAGACCGAAACAAATCACACAATAAGTTCACATTCCTTTTTCCTTCTTCGTCAGACGTGTCCTTCAACCCAAACACTCTTCTAACTCTATTCATCACCTCCAACCAATGATTGTCAGTGTTTAAATCGAATTGTTTGTTTCTCGTAAATAAAAGAGAATAAAATATTACCAAAAGATTGAGAGGTAAGTCATCCAATTTTTCTACAAAAAAGAGAAAAAAGAATAATCATTTTTAATTTTAATCCAAGCCTTCTTTTTTATATTTAGAACAATAGAATAATTAAGGTAAAAATGATAGCATATCAAATCAATTTAACACAATATCCCCTTCAACTGATATGAAAATCTCTAGATCGAATAGCATATTTCATTGTATTGAAAACATTAAATGTTCAATGATACATGGATATAGCGAACATTATTCAAGATAAAAAATCAATAAAACAATACACAATAGAAGAAGAGCTAAAAAGGACATCTGAAACATCAGAGGTGGGGTCAGGTGCCATGGAGGACTTAGCCTTCCTTGCCGACAAGTTACCCACTCTGTTTGCACATTGTCGTGATGGGGAAATAACGGAAAAATCGGTCGTCAATTCAGTGTATAAATAATGGACTTAACAATAAGTATAAACAAGAGACCCGGGGGCCAAATCACTCACCTGAGCAACTAGCTACCGGTAGGTAAATGCAAAAAATATTTTAGTATTGAAAAGTTTTAAAAATACATGAAATTGGGTTGGGAGAGGAGGGGGTTTATTTGAAAAAAAATTAAAGCTCCACTTCCTAAGGATGATTTTGAATTAATATGACACATAATGGCATTGGTATCTATGACCAACCATGGCTTTGCTGTTCTTGAGAAGAAGATTTTTCCTATGTATTCCTATTTCCTATGTAAAATTTTGAACGCCTAATGTGCCCTAATCCTACCCAAGGGGGTCAGTTGAACAAACATAAATCTACATTTATTTATCAGAAGATTGCTTCCACATAATTATGACTAATCATGGGTTTCCTGTTTTTGAGAAAAAAAAATGTTCTCATGTACTCCTATCTAAACTTTTATACCCCATTGCGACCTATTCCTAACCTTGGTTCCTGATATTAACAAATTTGAAACATCACTACATGAGGATGCTTTCACATGAGTTTCATCTTTCCTGGCCCAGTGGTTCTTAAGCAGACGATTTTTAAAGATTTTTCCTATGTATTCCTATGTTAAATTTTTATACCCCATTGTGGTCCCATCCTATCCCTATGAATCATGATTTGAACAAACTTGAATGTCCACTACATGAGGATTCCTCTACATGAGTTTCAGATTTCCTTACTCAGTGATTCTTGAGAAAAAGATTTTTAAAGATTATTACCTATGTATTCCTATGTTAAACATTGATACCTCATTGTGGCCCAACCCTACCCTCGGGGTTCATGATTTGAACAAATTTGAATCTTCACTACATGAGGATGTTCCTACATGAGTTTTAGTTTTCCTGGCGAAGTTATTCTTTAGAAGACAATTTCAAAATATTTTTACTATGTATTCCTACGTTAAACATTGATAACCCATTGTGGTCCTATCCTACCCCCCCCCCCCCCCCGGAGAATGAGAATGCTTCAACATGAGTTTTACATATCCTGGTCAAGTGGTTCTTGAGAAGGAAAATTTTAAATATTTTTTCCTATGTATTCCTTATTATTGTTAAACATTGATACCCCATTGTGGCCCAACCCCACCCTCGGAGGTCATGATTTGACAATTTCAATCTACACAACATGAGGATTCTTCCACGTGAGTTTCAGCTTTCCTGACCAAGTGGTTCTTGAGAAGATTTTCAAAAGATGCTTTTAATTTTTCATTAATTCACAATTATCTCCCCTTGGAGGAGGGTGTAACCCTTCATTTGAACAAACTTGAATTTGTTTTTTTCATGGATACGTTGTGCCAAATTTGTTTGAAATTGGCACAACGGTTCTTGAAAAGAAGATGAAAATGTGAGAAGTTTACAACGACGACGCCAACAACGACGACGACGACAACGACCGACAATAGACAAATTTTGATCAGAAAAGCTCACTCGAGCCTTCAGCTTAGGTGAGCTGAAAACGTCTTTCAGCACTTGACCAAATGATAAATTGTATTTGCTGACAAGTTAATTGCATCGGCCATCGAACTTTCAAAACGATGACTTTAAACGACACAGCTGATATTCATGTTTCATCACCTTGTTCGTATTAGAAATTAATCTAACTTAGAACATGCTCTTGCGTATCGAATCAACTGAGATATATATACAATGTATGCACATGATGAAGGTTGAATGCTGCATAAATAAGGGAAGTTGACGATTAAAACATTGACCGCTGATGTTCTTGGTTCATCAATTTGTTTGTCAATAACTTCTTGTCTTAGCAATTTTCAAACGTAGAACATGCTCTTGCGTTTTGACTCAACTGAGAGATATAATCCGTATGTAGATGACAATTAAAGGCAAATTATTGCATAAGTAAGGGAATTTGACGATTGAAAAGTACTCTTTTGTAAAAGATCCAAATATGAAACATACTCTGTAGTATCATATATTTCATGCTCACCGGGATATATCGTGCCAACATAAAAATGGAAATAATTATATCATTGGTCAATATGTTGTCTAGATGTCAAGTTGTCTAGATGTCGAGTTGAAGGCCACAGGAAGTGTTTTCTTTTCAGGTAAAAGATATTGAAGAATTTTTTCTTATTTCAACAGATTGTTGAATGATCTTTAAAAACCCAGAGAGATATTGTCAATCAAATACTCTAGCATCTCTATTATCTCTAAAGATCACCATAGCTGCTGGAGAAAATCTGTCATTTAGGAACTCTTGCCCTATCCGATTCTTTTTTAAAAAGAGCATTTTTTAGCACTTGAAATACAAGACTTCTAATGCCTGTCTAACTACAGAGCATCCTTTCAGTTTTTGAGGATTAAATTTCTCACAAAAATATGTTGCTATATTGATCATTTGAAACTTTCAGTGATATTGAAATATTCAGCGACAAAGTAGTTATTCGAACATTATCAAGGAACCCGAAACTACCTTTCTAGAGTGAAAAAACGAGCTTTTAAAAGAAATTCTGAAAGGAGGACAAAATTTACACTGCACAGTAATAAACTTGAATTTTCTAAAAAAAAAAAAAATAAATAAATAAAAAACCTTGAGAGTGTATTTTTTTTTCTATCATTTGAATTTCTTTAAGATAAAATGGTGTTAAATAAGGATAACCTACTTCGGAAAGGTGTTCTCCATGCACGTTTCTCCTCTGCGTTTTCTGAAATGAAAAGGAAAGTTGTTAAATTTTAATAATTATTTAAAAAATGCAGATTTGTTCTAATGTAATTTCTTCATTTGTTTACTGATTCAAGTAACCGAACAAAACAATTTTAAATCTCCAACAAAATTTGAGAATGCGTATGAATGTTTAATTCAAAATAGTAAATAAAGAAAACTTCAAAACTATATTTTTTACTTTTATCATAAAAATAAACAATTTACCTAATGTGTACTCTAGCTTTCTTTCACCATCTGAATTAAAAAATAAAAAATATAAATTTTTAATACTGCCCTTTCAACTTTCATTTATTTTAAAGTTATTCTGTAAACGCTTTGAATGTTAATTTGTTACACAAGAGCATTCTACGTATGTACAATTTCTAAAACGGGGTAAATTTTGACAAACAAGTTAATGAAACAAGGATGTCAGCAATTTCGTTTACAGTCATCATTTCGTAAGTTCTATGGTCGATACAATTACCTTGTAATTAAAAACAATTTATCATTGAGTCAAATGATGGCTGATGGTTTTTTAACATACTGATTGGTTGTACATTATTTACACACTAAAATGACGATGGATTTTCCGTTATTTTTCGATCATGACAAGGAGCACACGACAGGTTTGGCCGGTCGACAGGGGATGCTCACTCCTCCATGGTACCTTATCCCACCTTGATGTTTCAGAGGTTCGTGTTTGCTCCACTCCTATATTGTATTGTTTAATGTACTTTTGAGCTTGAATACTGCTCATAATTTCCATATATTTCATGTATTTTGGTAAAGATAAAATACGAGGGCTGTTCAATAAATAATGTCCTGAACTATATAACATACAATACATTTATCATATGACATTAAACTCGACTTTCTCTCATTATTAAATCTTAAATGAATTTATAACAGTTTTTTTTATACCTCTATTGATAATACTCGAATTTGATTGGTTGGTAAGAAAACTTTAAAACATAACAATGACTCCAAATGGTACTGTTTACAACAATAATGACCTAGGAATCATTTCGCGTGGGATATAATGACCATGTCATTATAATTAATGACCGCTAAATAATGACCTCTTAATCAAAAATTCCTTTTTGACTCAAGTTAATGCATCAAATAATATTTGTTCGAGAAAAACATGTTTTTGAAATTGTGCATGGTCTGCTTTACATTTTACCATACAGAATACGGTAAAATTTTATCGTTAACTTAAACGGTTTACTCATTTAAAAATAGGCTATCGTTACAAATAAGTTCAATGGAATGTAGAAGAGGCTCTTTAAAGATTTAAATTCTGTGTTTGATTTTGACAGTGTAGAGGAAAAGTATTCGCTAGTTATAACAATGTGTGTCGCTATCGACCAAATATGGTTTTAATCAGTAAATCATGATGCAAAAACTTACACGACTTGCAGACGTCAATGTAAATAACTTCATTATACAGAGAGTAGCGAATCCCGATCCCGATCGAAGAAAGAATTGATAACGGTAAGGGATTCATATTTTTCAATATATATGGGTATAATACAAACAATTTATTCAACATGGTGAAATAAGGACCCAAGACCTGGAAAACGAGGTGACCTGTCCTGACCGAGACCGCGTCGATGTTGAACTCAAAAGGGGTTAATCAATTGTACAATGTGACCACTTTTCATCACATAGTTTCATCGTGAGAATCTGGGAAACAAGGGCTATTCGAGACACTGCATTATAAATGAATGGTAAAGAATCAGTAAACTAGAGTGAAAATAAAAGCTTCATTAAAGCTGTCGTAAAACTTGTTAAAAATTCCAAAGAAAGTTTCACTGAAATATGTGACATTTACATCAACCAATGCCTATTTTAAAGACAAATAAGCAAGTGGATTTCAATGAAAAATTATTTTATAATGGGCATCAAAAAGGGGTACCATCCTTACCAACAAAAATTATAACAACTGATGTACTATTTGCCAAATTTCAACAAATGATATTTGATGAAGTGTGATTGACTTTAAGACACATAGCAAATTTAATACACATGTTTTCGTGAGTAGTTTAAACTGTTTTAAAGAAAAGTTTGACGGTAAAAAAGCTTAGTACTCAAAGGTCACCATATATTTTGAAAAATGAGTGAAAACGACAGCGTGTAGTAATGACTCAACAATTATTTTAAAATATCAGTAATTGTAGTTATCCGCGTTTGTTTCATATTCAAACAGATAATGGAACATGAATCTATTGGTCAAAACCCGCAAAACAACATTTACCATAAGATGTACTTGATAAGAACAGCAAAAGTCTGACAAGAGCAAAGATATGCAAGAGCAAAAAGACAAATTTATATGCAATTTTCTTAAATATTAGTGGTATTGTTGTTCAAATTCGTATTTGGGAAGACAGTTTAATTTCTGGAGGAGTCTAGAAAGCAATTTTTTGCAAAAAGGTTTATTAGAAGAAGGACCTACAATCAGGAATCCACTACATTAAATTTCTTGATGACAGCGTCCAAACCCGCAACCCCTGAAAAGTAAAGGGGTTTCGGGATAAACAGAAAGTTACTGTTTTTTTTCACATTAACAATATTCGCCAGATCTTTGACCTTTTGACATGATTCTATTTCCAAACTTGAAAAAAAAAACACCTTTCAGAAGGAAGAAATAAGTCCAGGAAATCATTGGATCTGCCATTTTCCAGTATACTAAAGGTAAACTCCAGCATGCTAGAGGTTCACGGCGAGATACTTTTGACTTGGCGCCGCGTAACCTCTAGCATCCATTGTAAAAATTCTCGCCGCTGAAACCCCAAGTGGAAAAAAATTATTTTATTAAGAAATAAGGCTTTGTTTATTAACGAATGGTACGAAATAATAAAATACTCAATATTTACGATAAAACTTACGCATTAAACACTGTTAACTTCTCGTATTAGCAATAAATCCATTATTTTTTAAATCGAAGCAGAAATTGAAACAAGTCGTCTGTTAACAATTCGGAAATGGAATTCAGACAATCTGACGAAACGAAACCAGTGTAATGCAACGAAAATTTCGTTTTCTGACAAGCAATCCGCAAAATTAATGTGAAGTCAAATCGAAAGTACTTCTGGTGACAAATTGGAATAATGACAATTTTCATTAATTTACAATAATGCACACTAAGTAAAATGGATTTTATTATTTCTTGTGACTTTCATACCCCATGCAAACACGTAGGTACCTGAAAATTACTTGTTAACAGTTTATTTCACGCATAATACGTTCCGCCCAAAATCTCAGGCGGAACGCGCTCGTTAGAAAATGGCCTTCGGATGTAAGAGTCCGAGGTATATAAGGAGCGAAGGGACGTTAACCGAGGCTCTTACTTGTAGGAGTAACTAAAGGTCATACCCAAAAATTAGTTCTAAAAACAATAAGAAATTGGATAAAAAATGTTACGGACATGTGTATTAATCAAAAGAGATTAATAAGTAAAATCATGAAGACTAAATCATTGAAAAGATTCTTTTGCTTCTTTCCGAGCACCGAGGACATTATTTATTGAACAGCCCTCGTACACTTTGTATTTTGGTTAAATGTATTTATTTTGTGATTATTTCAAAATACCAAAATACCAAAATTTATAAGGTTACTCTTTGAAATCTAGGATGAAAAAATACACTATGTACGCATGCTCTAAGTAAGATTAATTTATAACACGAACAAGGTGATGAAACAAGGACATCAGACCTAATTTTAAAGAATTTTCTCTTCAAAAGTAACGGTTTACTAAAAAAATACTTTATTATCCGATCTTTTGGCACGATTTTAAAAAGAAAATTGTTATTTTGTCGGTGCTACATTTCGACAAAACCAATACAAGTATGGCATATATCTAAAGTGTTTAAAAATATTCATCGTAATGAAGTCAGCTTACAAATATTAAATGAATAATATCAAAGAAAGCTTGATGAATTGAATTTGTAAAATACCTATGGTAAAATCATACAAATGTAAAAGATGTACCATTTATCAGTAGGTTCCTTTTAAAAAATCGACTTTGAAAACTTAAGATAATTATTTGTAAGAATATGTAACTTTGTCATATGATAGATATTTGATGCTATAGGGTTATGGCTCTTTCTGAGTTCGAAAATGTTCAGTTTTATTGCAAGAAGAATGTGACATTAATTTGTGCGAAAGCCCAAGTGAGTTTAAAAAGTGCGCGGAGCTAATAGTGTTTGTATAGGGTAGCATAAATACTGATGATGATAACCATTTTCTTTCCAATCATGACAGAGAACATGACGGACCATATCAAAGAAACTAAATAATGGCAAACCTCGTTCTTGTAAAAGGGCACCACATTCTTCAGAATCTCTTTGTACATCTTAAAGAAAGATTATAAGACATATTGATAATAATTCAACATTATTTCAAGATTATTTAAAATTCACAAGTAAATTTTGTTCGTGGAAAAGAAACCAAATAAACACTTTGCTTAAGGTAGATGTAAAAATCATGTTTAGTCCCTGATACCTTGAAATAATTTTCCATCTTATAAGTAAGAAATGGGAAGATTGGCTTTTACAAGTTTATCTTATATAGTCAAATTCGTGTTTCTTACCTTGTCGAACTCGCCAAAGTCGACACCAAATGATAAATACAATTATGGAAATCAAAGGAATAATTAGAAGACCAAGCATCCATAGGAGTGCAGGGTTCTCATTGGGTTCAGAGGAATGAAGGGAACGGTTATTAGAATCATCATTCGTCACATTTATCAAATTGTGGTACGTGGTGTTTCTACAAAAAAAAAAAGAAAATAGAAAAAAGACGAAAAAATGAACAATAGAAAACCCTTCAGTAAAGTCGCTTAACTGAGCAATTGGAATTAGAAAAACAGTATTCAAAAGCTAAAACATATATGTGATTCCCACAAAACACAAGGGGGGGGGGGCGTTGGCTGAAAAAAAAAACCCTCAATTTACACAACATGTGGATGCTTCCATATTGTTTGACTAACCATTCTCGGCTTCCATATATTTTAATAACCCCTGATTTTTTTTTTTTTGGCTTTTAGATAGTGACGTTTTTCATACCAATTGTTAGTCCATTATTAATACACTGAATTAACGACGGATTTTTTTCTGTTATTTTCTGATCATGACAAGGAGCACACAGCGGGTGTGACCGGTCGGCAGGAGATGCTCACTCCTCCATGGCACCTGATCCCATCTCTGATGTTTCGGGGGTCCATGTTTGCTCTGCATTTATTTTGTATTGTTTTATGGACTTTGAGATTTCATACTGTTCGTTATCTCCATATCATAGTTTAATAACCCCCTGTAACTTCCATCGTTTATTGTGCTTTTCGTGCCAAATTTGAAACAACTCACATAACAAATCTTCCATAAAGATCTGATCAATCGATGATTTAGTGATCGTGAAGACAAAATTTTTAAATATTTCTCTTATGATTGCAATAATAAACTTAATACACCCACAGTATCTACTCCTCTTTTTTTTTCTTTTGAAAAAATAAGAATCTACACTACCTGTTGGTCAAATTATGTGCGGTTTTACTTTTATGGTCCTATGGTTCTTGAGAAGAAAACAAATGCTTTAATTATTCACCTTTCAAAAAAAATCATGACTCTCAATAAAAGAAATCCCTTTTTAATGAGGTTGGATACTGTCATCAAAAGAAATGAGAATTTTTTATCAAGTATATTTTTGAATATTTTTATAGAATTTATACACATTTATTATTAAACAAACAATACTCAAAATTGGGGTCATTGTGCTTCTTTTGGCGCCACAGAGCATTTAGTTTGACCTTCCAGGAGACCATTTTACGAAAGAACTTACGACTAAGACCGAAAACTTCAGTTGAATGTAAAATTTTGCAAAATTAATATTTCTCTTCAAAGCTATTTGTGTAAAAATATTTAACCACATTTCTTTTAAAAATATTAAAATTAATTTCGATATAATATTTATTAAAAAGTTATATAAAAAATTAAATTTGGTCTTAAGTTGCAAGTCCCTTTGTAAAATGGGCCACTGCACTATAAATGCGTCTTACACAAAAATCTTTCTTTAAAGTTTTTTTTTCTCCGATATTTTTTGTTCAATTAAATCATGAGAACAAACACAGTCTTATTACATCATAAATAGCCACATTACAATTTGTGACAACAAAAAAAATTTGAATTACTCCGCATGCTCAATTATTTGACCTTTTGCACTCAATATGTTTCATTTTCCTGGCATTAAAAAAGTTAACAAACAAAAAAAAATCATTTGAAAGTAATGACATTTTACTGAATTTATGAAGAATGGTTAAAAACCGTATAAATTCAGAAAAGAATATTAAAAGTGGAGGTCTGTGATGTTAATTTTTAGATATTTTAGATATTACTGAAAAAGTGCCAATTCTAAGATAAAATCAGGACCATGTTCTCCTTCATTTTCACAATATAATGATTTATCGTTATATCTATAAAACGTGATGATAGAATCCATGACAGTTAATCAAAACATATGTTAGGACCAGAATAAAAAGTCCTTTGCACAAAATAACTCCGTTGGCAGGCTGCATTAAAATAAGAATTCAAAATTAACATACTTTTAATAATTCAAAAGAAAAAAAGTCATTTTCTTCTAAAAAAAAACCTTCTGCCAAAACATATACTGTATAGGGGGAAAATAACTCGCGGTGTTAATATTCGCTATATTCACGGTGTTAACAAATCCGTGAATTCAAGAAACAGTGAATAAATTTTCAATAATCTCTATGTTGTATTTGGAAATTTGAGAATAGACTACGATAGAAATATATAAGTGTACGTGCAGTCCATGGTCATTTCAGTAATTGCGAGTAGCACTGTCATTCAATTAGTTTTAATTATCACGCTTTGCTTTAATTCAAATCGGCAGATAATAATTTGTGTTTGTCCAAAAGCTGTTTTAATAGCCAACGCTACATGTTTCATCAATCAAAACACGTGGCCCAGGGGTTTTGATTACCCCTGCGTAACTAATGTTACCACGTGTATTTGTTACCTGTATTCCCATGCATATAAGTTCATGTAGTTTTTATCGACATTTTGCTTTTAAAAAATCATTCAAAAAAATACCGAACTTACTGACGAAGGAAGTGTGGAAAGATCTTATTTCGTAGAACTACATAAAAAGTTTTATTTCTGTCCAGTGGTTTTTTGCCGCGTTGTATTGAAGATCTCGGGTGCACATGTACTCATCGTAATAGCAAATAGGTATGTCATTTAACGTTTAGGGACTATTAATAACTGCACTTGCGTTAATTAATCATTTATAAAATCTAACAATTTTATAATAACTTACCCCTTTGTTCGTGAAATAAAAACATAACGCTGATAAATTTCGTTGACATGTAGCTATGGTATGGATAAAATGGAGACAAGAGAAGTAACTTTTACTACATACCAAATTCCGCGAATTCAAGAAACCGCGATCGTGTCAGATGAGAGAAAAACGTGAAAATTACAACCCGTGATATTAATCCCTTATACAGTAGTTCCTCACTTAATGCTTTTAGTATGGAATTTAATCATGGAGTTTTAAATGAATATAGTTAATCTGACATCGTAGTATCCAAATGAATTGTAAGAATTAAATCATTATGCAGAATGTTTGAAATATAAATCAACTCAATATAAAAATCCTCGTTAACAAATTATGCTTTGTATCAAGATTAATTTGAATTAGTCCAGGAATCTTGATAGTACAATGAAGCGCATTGAAGTGGTAAAATTTTCCGTTTGAATGAAACGTTCTGAGTCATGTTTTGAAGGTCAGTTATAACACAATGACACGCCCATATTTTTAGAAACGAGAAAGAAATATTCGTCGTAATGTTTTAGGGCACCCCACTCTTCGCCGTAAACAACATGAGTTACACTGAAATGGGGCTATAAAAAAAGGAAGAAAGGATTAGAGACTTCCTGCTTCTGTAAAACTCAAATTGCAACGAATATGAACATATTTTTTAACTTATCATGTCTATTGAAGTTACTACAACACATGTTTCGGTCGAACACGTGTTTACTCGGTGTTTATTTACACCGTCAAGTTGATTGGCTATTATATTTATGGAAAACCTGTTCTACAGGTATTCGAAGAAACAAATTGACCGTTTTATCCATTTCTAAAGAAATGGGCGTGTCATAAGATGACAATCAACATTCTAAAGATAGCTCAAAACGTTCCATTCGAACGGGAAATTTTACCACTTCAATGCGCTTCATTGTGGTAGAAAATGTGAAATGTTAAGGACATTGGCAACGTTTCTGGATTTTGTATAGAATTTTTTAAGAACTTTTGAACAGATTTAATGGTACCAAACATGTTCAATTCAGGTCCTTTTTACCCATCAAGCCAGCCTTCCTTTAAAGATTTTGTCAAATCAATGTTTTTACGATTCTCAATGCATTACCTATGTAAAATGTTGATAAAATGGTCCTACATTATTTTTAACCATAAGTTTTTTCTAAACCCATTAATTTCATAAAGTTTATACATAAAATACATTGTTGAATCTTCATTTCTGATGACAAACATATACTTTGGCTCAAATTGCAAATATAGAAACAAAACACAGAAATACCAGCACTATTCTTCGATTGTGAGTTACTTCCCTTAACATCTAATTATTATTCATAATGATCAAGACACTGGTTGTTTGTTTCTATGCTATAATTTACTTTATTTGAAAGGAACTGTCATTTAACATTTTGGCAAGGATTTATTATAACTTTTAATGATGCCTCCTTCACAAAACCTATAGAATCGTTCTCATCTGGTCTACCTAGCTATCACCATTTTCAGCATAATTATGTCACTTCTTTGCACTTCCCAGCATATATGTACTTATTCTAAATGACAACCTGTTGACTGTCTGCCCCCTCAGCACAATGTAAACAAACCCATCTCTGTTATTCTTTTATTACTCTAGAGTTGAATATATCTTATAAAAAACACACACGTGCTTTTGTTTACCTCTCAGTCTGTAACACACGCTTTATTGGTTTTCACCGCCTAGAGAATTCCATACGGGAGATCACTCTCAATGACTATTTTTATAAATAAAAAAAAACTAGGTATAAACCTTTTTTTTCTCCGGAAACCCTGCGTTGCCAATGACCTTAATAGACAAACGAAATTTTAAAGAACATCGGACAAAATGTGATTTTAAAACAGAATGCTATCCATAAATTCGGATGTAAACAAAACCTTTCATGCCTATTTGATCATTTTATCTATTTATTTTTTTTTTAAAAAACGTGATATAAACATTAAATTTAATTATATTAAAAATATAATATGTAAAGTTGGTAACTGTAATCTAAAACAGCCTACTTCAAGAAAATGCATCGAATTGTCAACTTCATACATGTATATTGGTTTTTAATTTAAATTATCAGATAATCAACAGTAATAAAAAATTAAAGCAATAAGTCAATTTCAAAAATATTTTGCATTTTAGGTAATGTTTTTTTTTTTAGATTTTAAATTAATTAAAACAATGATAAAACGAATATATATAAATCTTCCTAATATAATTAAAATTTTTGAAAAAAAAATTATTTTAAAAACTACAAGATTCATAATTTATTAATAAAAGGTATATGCATTTTTTTCTCTTCAGTAACTTAATTAATACAATATTGCACATCGTACAATGATTTAATTTGAACTACATGAAAGACAGTGACCAACTGATAAAAGAAAGAGACAAATAGAGCTCTCTAATGATACTCCAAATTGTATTTATTGCTAAAACACGTGTATGTATTTCAAAGTTTCCATATAAAACAATTATTATTTAAGGAAATATTCCTTTTCATACTTTTTATATACATAACTTAATTCAATTAATATATTCAAATTATTTCACCTGGGATAAAAATTATTATAAAGACATTATTTGTTTTTTTTAGCACCCAATCACTTAAAATTCAATATCCAGAAAAAAAAATTTATAGAGAAGAAAAATCGTTTTTTTTTTTTTTTTCTTTTTTACCTTTCCACGGGTATGCAGTTTCGATCCTCAAGGAAACATTTTTGTATTGTGTTGATCTTTAAACAACTTGGAACTGAAATAAATTTCACGTTATATATTACTTAACACAAATCAATAGTTTACGAAAAAAAAGTTTTATTATCAACATTGCCACCAAAGCAACGAGAATTAATTTTTCAGCAACAGCTTTTGTTAAATATGATTGTGATTCAACATGCAAGTATTGAAAATTCTCTTAAGAGATGACAGAGTACCTCATTGATAATTACCTTCACTCTATTAGAATATATATGGTTACGTATTGTGCTCCTTTATTAACCAGCCTGACTAAATTACATTCCATAAATCTTAAATCATTCATATTTTCTTTTCGACAAAAAAAATTACCGTGGCCTTCAGATTAAAATTTAGATGTAGAATCTAAATTGAATACTTTTATTCACATTTCTTTCATTTTCATATATTAGACATCTCGAAATAATGTTGTACTGACTATATCTGTAGACAATCATGACTTATTCATAAATTAATTTGTAAAACACCCTTGCTTATCAAAACCATGTGAATCGTTTCCTTGCTAGATATACAGGGATTGTTTTACGTTCGATTCGATTTTTATATAGAAACATCAACAATCAACGTTTAAGTAAGGCCTCTAAGTGATCTTTAAAATGAAGGTGCCATCTGGTGTATTATAAAAAATGTATGCATTTTTACCATGTGATTAATAAAGATCCATTCTTACTCCAGAATTTCTAACTCAAGGTTTTAAACAGGTAAGTTGAAACGTTTAAAAGTTAATACACGATGATCGACTTAGTACGAAAAGAGCTAGCAATAGTCATTTAATTGACTCAATAACATTGATCTGACTTGTATGGTCTCAATACTACAACCCTACTAATGTGTTCGGAACTTTTTTTCGGTGCTCTGCAAATAATAAAACCCAAAGAGTTCAAAGTAGCTTTGGCAGTAGCTCTGGCGAGAGTCAGCGAGACTACAGCCAGATGGAGTAAATTATTCACGTAAATGTAGCTAGAAGTGGTAAACAGAGAAGTTATGTTGTTTCAATTTTTACCACCATATAATATCTGTAGAAATGTACTTCATTTTCATTTGAATTCATTCAACTTAATTAAGTATATGTATTCTCTATGATGTTATTTTTCTGCATTCATGCATTAAACTTTCATTGTGGAAAAATATTTATTTTGAACCGAGAGTATTTTTGGTGTCAGCTTAGCAAGGGAGGCACAAACATGGCTTTAACTGACAACTCAGACGAACGAGAATTGCATTATGGGTTACTACGGATACTACAGGGATTTTATATTTAAAAAAACCAATAAAATATAATGACGATGGGAAAGGCACAAAGAACATTTTCCACCCATTTCGTAAAGCAATTTCAATTGTTTCCTTTTCTCTTATCATTCCCTTGCTAACAATGACAATAAATTCATTTATTGAATAAACATAAAATTCAGGAGTTTTCTATGTCATAGTACAAGGAGATTTTAGTCTGTATTGATTCCTTTGTTGTACTATCGGTAAATACAATTGTCAGGTGGATTTCTGGGCCAAAAACACTTGTGATCACGGGTATTGTCCTTCTTAATGATCAGGCAATTCAGTATTCACTATCAAAGTCCATAAAACAATACAAAATAGGAGAAGAGCAAATCCGAACCTCCAAAACATCAGAGGTGGGATCAGGTGCCATGGAGGAGTGAGCATCCCCTGTTGACAGTTTACACCCGCCGTGTGCTCCTTGTCATGATCGAGAATTAACGGAAAAAATCCGTCGTCAAATCAGTGTGTAAATAATGGACTAACAATTAGTATGAAAGACGTCAGTCAGCATCTGACTCAAAGATAAATTGTATTTGCTGACAAAGTCATTGCATCGACCATAGAACTTACGAAATGATTACTTTAAACGAGACTGCTGATATTCTTTTTTCATCAACTTGCTTGTCAATAATTTACCTCGTTTTAAAAATTGTTCATACGTAGAGCATGCTCTTGCGTATCGGATCAACTGAAATATATATATCCCCCATATACTGGTGATGAAGGTATATTGCTGTAAGCGAAGTTGACGATAGAAAAGTTAAAGTCATCATGTTTATCATATAGTTAGGTTGTTAGATTACAACTAACGTCTTTTTCAAGTAAAATATCCAAGTTTGAAACAGATGTGTCAGACTCTGTGGTATCTTTTATCTCAAGCTCCCCAGGATATATCGTATCCACGTAGGAATGGCAATTACCATTGTTAATTGACAATACGTCGTCGATATATCTGAAAGTCGAGTTGAAGGCCACAGCAAATGTTTTCGTCTTTTCACGCACAAGATTTTGCACAAATTCTGCTATATTTTCTAATAAACAACAAATTTAAAAGGCAATTTCATAGTTTCTAATTTTTGTATTTTTTCATATGAACATTTTTGAAACCCATTTAATATCGATCATAGATTGACCTGAACCACATGCTCGAAGTAATATAACAAGAGGTCCAGGGGCCATATCGCTCACCTGAGCAAATCGGCTAGGAAAAAAGCACAACTCAGATCATAACTGAAAAGTTTACCAAAAGGGGGGCTTGAATTTTTATACTATTTGAGAATGCCTTCATATTAATACAGCATATAGCTTTGCTGCTCTTGATAAAAAGATTTTTTAAAAACTTATTTGAATTTGATTCCCCATTGTTTCCCTCCCTACCCCCAAAGGACCATGATTTGAATAAAAAATCTTCAATACATGAGGATACTTACATGTCAATATGACTTAACATAGCTTTTCTGTTCTTGGGATATTTCCCTTTATTTTTCTACACTACCCGAAAATGCTTCCACATAAATACTAGTATCACTAAACATGGCTTTTCATTTCTAAGTGAAAGATTTTTAAAAAATATATTTTTATGTAAAACTTAGATCCCTCATTGCGGCCCCACCCTATCCCTGGGGTTATGATTTGAACAAACTAGAATCTACACTACCTTAGGATGATTCCATATAAATATCACTAATCATGTCTTTGAAGTAAAAAGATTTCAACATCTAGTCCTATTAAAAACTTTGATCGGCCATTATGGCTCCATCCTATCCCCTGGGGTCATGATTTGAACAAACTTGAATCTACACTACCTGAGGATGATTTCACATGAGTTTCATCTTTCCTGGTCCAGTGGTTCTTGAGAAGACGATTTTTCCTTTATATTCCTATGTAAAAACTTTGATCAGCCATTGTGGCCCCATCCCACCCCCGGGGGTGAAGATTTGAACAAATTTGAATTATACTACATGCAGATGATTCCACATGAATTTCATCTTTCCTGGCCCAGTGGCTCTTGAGAAGAATATTTTAAAGATTTTCCCTATATACTCCTATGTAAAACTTTGATCGGCCATTTTGGCCACACCATACCCCGGGGGTCTTGATTTGAACAAACTTGAATCTGCACTACCTGAGGATGCTTCCATGTGAGTTTCATCTTTCTTGGCCCAGTGGTTCTTGGGAAGAAGATTTTTTTTAAATGCCATTAATTTTTCACTAATTCATAATCATCTCCCTTAGAAGAGGGTGTGGCCCATCATTTGAACAAACTTGACTCCCCTTTACCTAAAAATACTTTGTGGCAAGTTTGGTTGAAATTGGCCTAGAGGTTCTTGAGAAGAAAATGAAAATATAAAAAGTTTACGACGACGACAACAACGACAGACGACGGACAAATTTTGATCAGAAAAGCTCACTTGAGCCTTCGGCCCAGGTGAGTTAAAACATGTTTAATTTAGATAGCGTAAACGTTGCTATTTATTTTACGATTGGTCAGTTGGTAAGTTGTAAGATATGTGTATTTTTCTACCATGGTATCGGCTACTTGGGGGATATTGTCTCTAGAAAGCTTCAATTTCTGCAGTAAATAATCACAAAAGCTAAGATAAAGTATATTGTTTTGACCCCCTCCTTTATCTACCGAAACATAAAAGTCTTTCAGAAAGATCTAAACACACATTTTATACAGGACTTGTTTTCAAAAGAAAAAGACTATGCCATTTCCCTGTTTATTGCCATTTTTATTTATAAAATCGGTTCAACCCTGTAACCTTTGAATAGCTCAACCTATATCAAATGGCTTGAATTAAAATCACAATTACATTAGTAGGGATGTACCAGATACAGTATATGAAGAATAATGGCTATGTAAATAAGGCTGTAAGTTACTTTTTGTTATTAAATCATTATTCTTATTAATTTTCGGCATCCACAGAGTTTCATCTTTTATAATATCCCGTTAATGGAATATAAATATTGTGCTATGTCCGTGTGCCTGTCCGTCTGTTTTTTCCGCAAAACTTAAACCTTATCCTTAACTTTTGAATGGGTGGAACTTTGGATTCAATATTTTACAGATGTATTTCTTTTGAAAAGTCCCTTTTTTGGTATCACCTTTTTTGGTTCTACCTAATGCTCTTGTCTTTGGAGTTTGACCCACTTTTGCCATGCATGAATTTCCTTACCTTAAAGTCATATACGCTATATGAACGCCGAATTTTGTATGAAACAAAATGATTAATGATTTAAAACACATGAAGTGTAATGAAAAATAATTCTTTCCACAAAATTGTACTAAAGATGTCGTTGTAATTACAAAAACAATTAAACATTATCTAGGAAGTAAGAATTCAGTCTTTTCATGAATATTGATGAAGGAAGTGCGTAAACAGTAGGCCTATATATAGAAACACGGGAAATCACAGACAACGAGATATTTTGCATTTTGACAACAATTATTAATATAAGGTTAATATGCGTCACAACAGAGAAGATGGTTGATACTGAATACATTAAAAGATAAGTACCATTAAGTAAGACGCTTGCCATCCACGTCAAAAGTGAGTAGTATCTCAAACGGCCTACCTTGTTTTCTTTACGCCACGTGTGTTTATCAATCTAAAAATAGCGACGTCGTCACGTGATGGATTTATTTAAAAATAGCTATTTTTCTTTCCTTGCAAGGCTAATAAAGAATTATAATTTGATAACTTTGTAACGCGTTTAATTTTAATGGTGTAGTTTACAGCATTTTCGTAACTTTTATTGATAAACAAATTATATCAATTTCCAATCGTATTTTAACTGGCGCAAGTTATAGCGTGTATACTTTTAAACAAAGTCATAACTATTGAATAGTTAATGTTAAGGCTTTCATACTTCAGTACTTGTGTATTCACTATGACAATTATTTTTATTGATCTTCACCTGAAAGTTTGGTCCACTTAAAAAAAATTAACCTTGATCATAATTTTGAAACGTTAGTACTAAGGCTTTCATCTTGCCCATATATGTTCCTTGTTTCAAGACCTTTAGAATACTTAAAACTTTACCATTTGACCTTGGCTTTAATGACCAACTTAAAAAAACTTTAATATTGACAATAATTTTGGAACCGTTGTCACCAGCGTTTTCATTTTTAGGTGACGTAAAAATAGTTCGTAATGAGGACCTTAGATCACTTATTTTAAAAGGTCCTAAATATAGGGAACCCCGATCCTTCAACTGGCGTCGGAATTTCATAAATATTATGGATTCTGTTGAAAATAACGCCAGACGATGGGCCAGATATGAAAAAGAAGACATTGACACCTTGTCAGAATGAATTTAATGTATCAGATCCATGTTAAAGTCACGTATTAAAAGATTGAGGGGCAAAATGAAAACCATCTATCCTTCTGTGTTCAATAAACCAGAAGTGAAAAAAGAATTAGATAGATTACACGATCAGTACGTACTGGTTCCTGCCGACAAAGCAGGTAACAACATTGTCTTCGTTTGTAAGGTTCATTATATAAATTGCATTCTAGAAGAACTTGGATTTAATTCTACAAGTGGTAATCCTACTTATACTCATATTTCTCTTTCTAAGGAAGAAATTCTTCAAAATCATCTGTCAGTTTTGAATACTTTTAATATTCCACAGAGCCAAAATGAATTTGAAATACCTTATATATATTGGATTCCGAAACTTCATAAGAATCCTTACAAACAAAGATACATTGCAGGTTCCAGTAAATGTTCAACCAAGCCTCTTTCGTTACTTCTCACTAAAATATTGACAGTAGTGAAGGAAAACGTCAAGAGTACTGTACAACTATATATTCAAGAAGTGGTGTAAATCAGATGTGGATACTTAAAAATTCTAAAGAAATTTTGGACAATTTGAAATCACAAACCTTTACAAAAATCAACAGCTTAAAAACTTACGATTTTTCAACTTTATACACAACAATTCCCCGCGACAAATTAAAATCCAGGCTTTTTGATATCATTGACAGCTGCTTCTTCAACAAAAATGGAACTCGTAAATTTACTTACCTCGTCATTGGTCATTTGAAAAATTATTTTGTTAAAACAGATTCTGATTGCACACATAATTATAAGTACTCTGAAGTTGACATCAAGAAGATGCTTAAGCTTCTGATTGACAATATCTATGTGGTTTTTGGAGACCAGGTATTCCAACAATCTATTGGAATTCCCATGGGTACAAATTGCGCTCCGTTATTAGCAGACTTATTTTTATATTCATATGAAGCAGAATTAATGCAAAATCTCATGCGTGAAAAGAAGAAAACACTTGCTGTGGCCTTCAACTCGACATTTAGATATATCGACGACGTATTGTCAATTAATAATGATAATTTCCATTCCTACGTCAACACGATATAGAGTCCGACACTTCTGCTTCATACTTGGATATTTTACTTGAAAAAGACACTAATGGTTATCTAACAACCAAGCTATATGATAAACGTGATGACTTTAATTTTTCTATCGTCAACTTCCCTGACTTATGCAGCAATATACCTTTATCACCTGCATACGGAGTATATGTATCTCAGTTGATTCGATACGCAAGAGCATGCTCTACGTATGAACAATTTCTTAAACGAGGTAAATTATTGACAAGCAAGTTGATGAAACAAGAATATCAACAGTCTCGTTTAAAGTCATCATTTCGTAAATTCTATTGTCGATACAATGACCTTGTCAGCAAATACAATTTATCATTGAATGAAATGCTGACTGACGTTTTTCATACCAATTGTTAGTCCATTATTTATACACTGAATTGACGACGGATTTTTTCCGTTATTTCCTGATTATGACAACGAGCACACGGCGGGTGTGACCGGTCGGCAGGGGATGCTCACTCCTCCATGGCACCTGATCCCACCTCTGATGTTTCGGACGTCCGTGTTTGCTCTGCTCTTATTTTGTAAATTGTTAAATGGACGTTGAGATTGAATACTGTTCGTTATTTCCATATCCTTTTTTTCAAAGTTTTATTTCTAGTGAGAACGTCCTTTGGGTTTCAACAATTTTGACCTTCTGATCTTTGAGTTTACTTGCATTTGAGAAATTGCAATCCTTGCCATAAGATTTCAAACTGACCTTAAAAACCCAATTTTATGTTAAACCCCCCCCCCCCAATCTACCTATATGGCACGCCAGATTCACAAAAATGAGCTAATCATAGTTTCACAGTCGATAAATTAGGTTTATCGGTTGTAAATTATAGTTTACGGACTGTAAACTATAGTTAACAACGTTAATCTATATTTTACATTTGTAAACCATAATTAACGCGATAATCTATGTTTCACAACCATATATTATACTTAACACCAAAAACAATCATTTGCGATAGCAAAACATAGATTATCTGATTAATACAGTTTCACGATTTTTAAACTATAGTTTACAAACCGTTAACTATAGTTAACAATCTGATAAAAATAGTTTCACGATTTGTAAACTATGGTTTACAACTCTTTACTATAGTTAACGATCGTAAATTATAGTTTACAGACTTGAATCTATGTTTATCAACAAATTCTATTGTTAACGTCTTATTACAGACAGACAAACATATATTAGCATTCGTAAACTATAGTTAACAACCGTTAAATATAGTTTTACAGCTGAAAACTATACTTAACGACTCTTTAACTATAGTTTACGATTTGTCAACTATAGTTTACAGTCGATAAACCTAGTTTATCAATTGTGGAACTAGATTTAGCTCATTTTTGTGAATTTGGCATGCCATATACCTGATTCAAGATCAATTTACCGCCTGTCAGCCATAAAAAAATAGCTTCTGATTTGATTGACAGTCCAGCTACCTGTAGTACCTGATATTGAGATTGTGCATGTTTTGATAACAATTTACCTGGTCGTGCGTCAAACACTTTCATGTACCCGCCTTGTATACACGCAGGGTAAAAAAAAAAAGAACTTTCTTAGTAATTTTATTTAAAAAACAATTGAGAGTAGATAATTAAAACATTACTTCATAAAATATTTGTTTTCAGTTTCAACGGCTGTATGATAATCGTATTTTAGGCGTCCAAGATATCTGCTCTCGAATTTAGACCGTCCATGCACAGTACAGAAACTATTTGCCGATTAAAAATTTAACAAATGGAATATAATTTAAAAAAAAGATATTTAGCACAAACGGCATATGGATAAAATACCTTTTGTCCCATGTTTTATCTTAAGTTTGTATATATGAATACAATCTTCACCATGTTGTAAAGAAATGTCAGAAACATGAGTTTTGAGATTATAACTTTTAGTTCGAATTTCCTAACGTCTGTCAATATTCGAAATGAAAAAGTGAACAAAGTGCACAAAGATCAATTCTTAACTAAAAGAAATCTTGCAAACAATAAAATATTTTAACACACGAACACTCGGAAACGGTGAATATTTTCGACACTTTTAATTGTTGTTCAGAACGTAAACAATATTCCTTGTAAACACATGGTAAAGGTTTATACGACAGATAGGCCTATAAATGGAATATCTTAGGCCTATTATTTTTTTTTTAAACTTTAATATTCACATAAATAAAAAAAAGAATATATAATTACTTTTTTAGTTTTAATATGTTCTTTTCTTTAATTTAATTTTTTTTTTGGAAATATAAAACCGATTTTTTCCTTATATTTTTTTTTTCTTCAATAGATATCGATGAAAGTGTTTATAAATAAATTTCATATTGAAATATTTCAAGTAGTTTCACTCAAAGTTAGACACGGAACATAGAATGTTGACCCTGATTACCAAATACAGACTTTCTGTGTCCTGCTACGTGTATATAATTTTTTTGACATCTTGAGTATTGGGGTCTCCAGGTAAATAACACCACTGTTACTGAGACCACTCCCCCATCTCAGGTAACCGTAAGGTAAAAATAATGGGTCTTTCATTCAATTTTAAGTAAAACAGTTATTTTTTAGTTAGTTAAATTAAACTTTCATTAGTTGGATTGTTTGACCATGCAATTTCGAAACAATTTTTAAAAAGATACGGCAGATTTGTTTACTAGTATTTTTGTCTTTGTTCCTTAAAAAAAAAAAACACGAAAAATAGGTAGCATATATAATTGACAATCCTTAAATCATGGAGAAAGGACATGAAATATCTTTTAATTTTGAATTTGTTTATTATATTCAAGGAAACTAAACATTATTTTACTCACATTTGTAGATTTCATCATCAAAATATAATTCATTTGGACATCCGCCTCTAAACGTTGATTTACAGTATACATGAGTAAGATACCCATTACTCTGATGTTTTACACAATTGTCTGAAATAGAATATTAGGCTTAAACAACAATTAGATTTTCACCCTGAATTCAGGGCAACATCTTTTATTTAGATTTTTTAAAAAAATGTATATGCATTTTACGTGTGTCCCATGTCCAAAATAGATTATACATATTATTCATATTGAGAGATTATTGGGGGTAGTATGACCCAAAGTTTATTCAATGTTTATTTGTATGATCGTTCTCCTCGGGGTTAAGCCTTATTTATGTTCGTTTAATATAACATGAAGCTTTGAATATATCAAAAACAGCCAGCTGCAGAATTTCATCAACTTTAATTTTTAGACCTCTTATTTATTTATAATTACTCAAAAATGTTCAAATCTTAATTGCATGGTAATCTCTTTTTGCCTTTAATTGTCAGTCCATTCTTGATTAACTTCCGAAAGGTAAAGATGTATTGCTTTGTACAAATCTCATGTACTAGTTGCAATGTTTTCACAGAGCTCTGTCATATATACATATTTTATTCGTTTTCATCCTGTACAGTAGAATCAAGATGAGATGTAATGGCTTTCTTTACGAATCACATCTTAATTTCTAAACTAAGACATACATATAACCTTTTCGTCCTGAAAAGGGGTGCCTCAGACGCCATGACATGCAGGAGACAGCAGAGTAGCACCAAAACCGTTAAGAATGAAACATTGACGTAGTCGATACTGGAGGGACACAAACAACCACAAATATTTTGTTGAATTATTTTTTTTATTTTTCATCTTTTTTTTACAAGGAAAAGCAAAATTTGAGGAAAAGAAAATGTGTAGACTTTGACAAGTGATTTTGTGTTATGTATCAAGGGGAGTTTGGATCACTATTTTCAATGCAATGTCGACGTCGTTGTTAGTGACCTGTGCGACTGTGCTACACTTTATGTTTTATTCATACTTACCTGGTCCCCATGGCTTTCGTTTTACTTTAGTGCAAAATTCAATCAAAGAGGAGAGATCTTTGTTCGGAGTACACAAATATCGAGCATCTCCACTGCAATTCATTCTCACAGAAGCAGCAATAAATGCTGTTCTGTTCAATGGACATTCTGCAGTTGAATCCATGACCAATGATTTGACGTTCATCTAAAATAAAAAAAAATATATAATTATCTGCTATGCAAACGCGTCAAAACGTACCTAAGATATGATTCTTCTTTGTTTTCTGAGTAGATGAAATATTCAAAGTATATTTGCTTATATGTCTTATATATTTAGGTGTAAGAGATTTTAAAATACCATTTTTTTCCTCATCATTATTGCACTACTTTAAATAGAAATGATAAACTGCGTTTGAAAACTAGCATGGAATGTATTTTTGGCGGACCGGTGGCGTATGAAAATATCTTTTTTTTCTGCCTCTTAAAATTTTTTAAAGAATAATGAATTTAGTTATAATTTATACACAATCTCCAAGAAATTTTCAAATGTAAATTAAATTAATAAAGAGGAACTAAAGTTTCAAAATAAAAGTACAGAATTGAGTAAAAAATCCTTAAAAAAAGTGCATGTAAACGATCAAAATTTTTCTCCTCATAACATTTTTTTTATCTTAATTTAACATCTTTACCATATGTGAAGATGAGAGAAAAAAAAGGAAGAATGTAAAAAAAAACTGATATATCCTAAAAATTTAAGAAAAGTAGATAAAATTCGGATTATATAATTATTCACTTTAGCTAAATAATATTTATCAATTTAGTAATATTATCTTATAGGACCTATATGTTTATATCTTTTATGGGAAAAGAAAAAAACATTCAATCGTTTGAAATACAGGGATCGCCTGATTGACAACAGTAACCTTTTATTCTTCATATCCAGGGAAAATGTAATGATCTTGACCTGACATTGCCTCTAATATAAAACGGTCAAACTGAATCTCACTGATACCATCACTTAGTGATATTGTAATTCTTGATTCTGTGAAAATTGCATTAAGAAAGAGGGCGTATAAGGCGTTTACAATCCCCCGCTCTGAGATAAAATGTTTCTCAATTTTCAAAATTCACAGAAAAGCTAATTTTTCTAAATTCATGTTCTCAGTAATGTCCTGTTTAAAACATTTTATTATTTCAGTTTACTGAACAACTTACCATTTGATAATCTTTATTTCAAAGTTGACAGTTCAGCATATTAAATAGAAAATGGGTTTAACAGAGCTATAAAAAACTAATTTTGAACACGGGTGGGTCAAGTCTCTATTTTTCGTGAACGCTTAAATGTTGGAAACGTAAATGTAAAATCTATTTCATATGTCCAAAAAATGGAATCTGAACCCATTCTATATGAAAATCGAACTTTCTCTGAAAAAATTTACGCTTCAACAAACCCGTTCATTTAAATCACACTGAAAGACGTCAATAATGCATATACTTCGTAGCGTAGTGCTTAGAGTGGTTGGTCTTGGACCATACCTGCGCTATGGAGAGAGTTCGAATCATACGTGAAGCTTCTTCTTTTTTGTTTTCAGATGTCTTAAAATCATGAGGGAAATATAAATTATTAATAAATTATTTAAACAATGAAATACAGAATTTGATGTGTAAAAGATGATATACGAGGGCTGTTCAATAAATAATGTCCTGAACTATATGACATACAATACAGATATCATATGACATTAAACTTGACCTTCTCTCATTATTGAATCTTTCATGAATTTAAAACAGTTTATGTGACCACTTTTCATCACATAGTTTCATCGTGAGAAGCTGGGAAACAAGGGCTTTTCGAGACACTGCATTATAAATGAATGGTAAAGAATCCGTAAACTAGAGTGAAAATAAAAGCTTCATTAAAGCTGCCGTAAAACTTGTTAAAAATCCAAAAGAAATATTTACTGAAATATGTAACATTTACATTAACCAATGCCTGTTTTATAGACAAAAGAGCAGGTGGATTTCAATAATAAAAGATTATATAATGGGCATCAAAAATGGGTACCCTCCTTGCCAACAAAAATTAAAACAACTTATGTACTGTTCGCCAAATTTCAACAAATAATATTTGATGATGTATGATTGACTTCAAGACACATAACAAATTTGATAGACATCACATCGGGGGTAGTTTACACTGTATTTAAGAAACGTTTGACGGTAAAAAAGCTTGATACTCAAAGGTCACCCTATATTTTGAAAAATGAGTGAAAATGAAAGCATGTACGAAATTCTTCACAATTATTTTAAAATATCAGTAATTGTAGTTATCCACGTTTGTTTTATTTTCAAACAGATATTGGAACATGAATCTATTGCTTAAAACCCTAAAAACAAAATTTACCATAAGATGTACTTGATAAAAACGGCGAATGTCTGACAAGTGCACAGGTATGCAAGAGCACAAAGACAGATTTATCTGCAATTTTCTTAAACATTAGTGGTATCGTTGTTCAAAATCGTATTCGGAGAGACAGTTTAATTTCTGGAGGAGTCTAGAAAGCACTTTTTTGACCAAAAAATCAAAAGGTTTATTAGAGGAAGGACCCAGAATCAGGAATCCACTACATTGAATTTCTTCAAGACAGCGTCCAAAACCCGCATGCCCTGAAGAGTAAAGGGGTTTTCGGGATAAACAGAAAGTTAATGTTTTTTCACATTAACAATATTCGACAGATCTTTAACCTTTTGACTTGTTTCTATTTCCAAACTTGGAAAAAACGCCTTTCAGAAGGAAGAAACAAGTCCGAGAAATCATTGGATCTGCCATTTTCCAGTATACTAAGGGTCATACCCAAAAATGAGTTCTACAAACGATCAGAAATTGGATAAAAAATGTTACGGACATGTACTTTAGTTAAAAGAGATTAATTAGTAAAATCATGAAGAATAAATCATTGAAAAGCGTCTTTTGCTTCTTTCTGAGCACCGAGGACATTATTTATTGAACAGCCCTCGTAAACCATAAAATTTTGATAAAATACTACTTTTAGAATTGAGAAATGTCTTTTTTCAGAGCGGGGGATTGTCCTCGCCCTGTACGCCTCCATTCTTTCCAAATAAAAGAAATAAGAGAAGAATCCTACCATAACAATTAATTTTATTCCCCATTCGTTTCTTAAACTTACCAACAATATTGTTGTAAAGATATCAGTACAGAATATGATGAAGAAAAGTTGGCACAATTTGAAATGGCAAGACATTCTGGTAATTTTCTGGATTTACGAATTCTCAATCTCTTCTCCCTAACATACAAAGAGAAATTTTTAAGAATTTGAAATTATATTCCATGCAGAAAGTCGACCTTCTGACTAAAATAAACTAATAAATTAAGAGCAGATAGCTACGTATACATATCTTAGTTATAATATCCCAATGTGTTGTTTGAAGATCTGAAGTGATAATTAATCAAATAGATTAGTTACTTCAATTGAGGAGAAAATGTCTCATTTCTGCACCCTCTTGTGGCCTCAGCCTAAGTTTGAATCAAAATAAGCGCTGGTTTTAAAACAAGCATAATTTGAAGTGCTGAAATACAAAATATCACATTTTAACCAGATTCGGGCATTACCATACGTTTTTCAAATCAGATCTGAGGATATAAGTATTTTGTAATACAATAGTTTTGCTATTCTGATCTCAAACAGAAAACATAACTCAAATAATGCCATTTATATAAAGAACATGCAGCTTTTTGTTTATTTCCTTTTGATAATGAATATAGTTAATATATCGGTAAATGATAAAGTTATTAACGACAGAATATTGAAAGTAAACTAGAGCCATCCTATGTGATCTTCAACAACAGAATGGTGTTTGAAATTCAACAAGAAAACTGTTTTGTTAAATAAGCGTGCACTCTCCTACATTACATTTACATGTATCTTTGTTGATAGGAACAAAATCCAGTTTTAAGGTTGCATGTACACATTTATTTGTTATTATTATAACTAGACATTTCTTAAGATTGCCCTTGTCATCTTCGTGAACTTCTGTGCTACAATTAATTAGGATTATTACAAGTCATACCATCGACTTCCATCGTAGTAACACATTTGCATCACTGTTTATCTTATATAGGAAAGATGAGTTTACTGTTTTAGCAATACCAATACAGTAGGTAAGTGTCTAGCATACAGTGATTCCAGTCATTTTTTTACCCTCTGAGTGCTATTGAATGGAACCTATCGCTTTAAAAAAGCTTCTACCAGACCAAACAATATTTATCAACAAAATCAACTGTAATCTCGTCTATTTTCATTCATGGCTTTTTGTAATTAACAAAGTGGCTTCTTCATGGTCTATTTCAAAAACACTTTAGATCGGTTACATGTCTCCATATCTGTTTATCAAATAAAGATAAGGCATTGCTGTATTGTTCAGCCATATTAAAAACCATTTTAAGATCACAATCGATAAGCTGTTGCCCATAATATTAAGAGAAGCAGTAAAAAATAATATATTCAATACCCCACTTTAGAAATAATGGACATTAAAAATATTACCAATATTTTTCCTTCTAAATTAAAATTATCATAGGCGTCGGAAGCAAATGTCAAGGGTGTGTGTGTGGGGGGGGGGGGGGGGGGGCTAAACCAACAAAATACAAAAATTCCTTTTTTTTTGCCTATAGATGTATCGGATCAAAAAGATGAATAAGGGGTGTACAAAAGCAATATGTAATAAAGATTCTGTGAAAGTTTCATTAAATTTCATTCAGTGGTATAAGAGGAGTTGCGGATAAGAGATAAGTATCCCAAGGCGTAACAGACAGACGGGAGGACAGACGGACAGACGGAAGGACATACTGATTACTATAAAACCTCCCACTTTTCAAGCAGGGGGGGTATGAAAAAGTAAATATATACATTGTATACATAAATGCCCTGTTTATGAAATACAATATAATAATATCAATATACGAGTAAGATAAAGTAAGATGCGAGAAAATTTAGTCGCCAGACGATTTGTAATTTTCTTGATAAAGCATTAATTTATACATATATCATTTCATACTGATGAACAAAGTAATAATGTAGCACATATGCCATATTTGATTACAAATTGGACAATTATACAAGACACTCGATTTATTAAACTCACTAAAGATTTAATACACAACATCTTCAAAGATATATAATGATAAGAAATAAAAACTAAAGGTACTGAAAGCAATGAGCTCACTAAATGATAACCCCGCCTCCCCTTTTGTTATAATGGCAAAGTTCATGTTTTGCTGTGGCCTAGAAACCCAAAATATATATCGGATCAAAAAGTTGAATAGGAGGTCACAATAGCAATACATACGTAGTGAAGATTCTGTGAAAGTTTCATTAACTTTCACTCAGTGGTATAAGAGGTATATCTTTTATTTTATGATGAAGAATAAGAAAAGTAATGTTAAAATATTATTTTTTTTAAAAACGTACTAGAATATTTGTCCTAAACTAATAAAGCTATTTTTTTGTCTTTTAAAATACTTGTAGTGAAACAAAATTTTATTTAATCTTGCAGTATACAATATGATTGTTTTTCAGCATAGATAATAAAATTGGATGATATGATTTCGTGCGTTTGAATAATATGTATTTAATCAATTGAATATTTATAAAAGAATAGCTCAGCACAAATCCTTCTATCTTGCATTTTTCTGCCGACTGTTTGCATAACAATAATTTTTAGATAAATTTTATTTTTTGATTAAAATTTGATTAAAGAAAGAATAACTGAATCCATTTTCAGAATATATATTTTACATATGTAGCTTTGAAATTTTCTTCATAAAATATTATTAACTGTTATTTTAAACTTTTGAAAAAATACCATGATTATATACACATGTCATTTTAAGTGCAGTGACATTAATAATATTCAATTACTGACATGTAACTAATGATATTATAGAAACTAAGAAAAGGACAACTTGTACCTTTCACGCTTTCTAATTTCAAAGGAATTGGATTTTAATCATAAACAACATCTGATGTTGTATGGTAACGCAGAACATGTGCATATCAGTTATATGTTGTTAGTTATATCTTATAGGTTAACATAAGAAATACTTGCTGATAGGGGCTTCAACCAATTTGCTTAACATGTTTAACAAAATGATCTACTTCTGAAGAGATCTTGGGTACTAAAAAACAGCAGTTATTTTGTGGAAATATCTCTAAATCACCAGGCAATGCTAAAGAAAACACTTTTTTTACTTACTTACTGTTTTCTTTCACATCTAAATAGAATATAGTTATATATTATATATATAGTTATCATATACTTACTGAAGGATATACATGTATGCTCAGAATATAAAGAAAAGTACTAAACCAAGGTTGTCCCCCTGACACAAAATGTATGAGTTGTAAGTTATATTCGGGCCGCGTATTAAAGATTTAAATTTTTTTCACAAAGCATAACCATAAATCAAGCTGCTTGACTTTTAAAAATAATAATTTGCCCCGGATTTGCCTCTGGGATAGAAGACAAAGCCATCTCAAATAAGAGTTAAGAATAAATTACTCTTATTCAAAGACCCAGTATCCTTACGTCATGTATGGCGTATCTTTGATAAGTTCAGATTAACTAAAATTTTAAATATATTTCTTTCTGTTTTGTTACTTTTTATAAAAATAGGACTTTCTTGTAAATTACACAATTTTAATCAATCGCGTTTCACAGATATCAAAGATTTAAAACAATAACCACAGTTTAAAGTCTATTCAAGAATAGAAATGAGTTATTTTAGTTCAAATTTGGTGAAAATTTTAATTCGAATGTTACTATTAAATATCTTGTAAATCTTCACTTTATCTCGTTTTTTTTTTTTTAGCTCAGAAACACCACCTTAAGCATTTCAAGAATGAAGATTATTTCAACTTTTGTTATGCGATAAAACAAAACTTGGGGCAATTTACACTTTTTATAAACCGCTTCGAAATAGGTTTTATTCCTTATAATTCCACCCCATTGTAGACAGTAACACAATTTTTCCCCTGGAAAAAGGCTTCGAATTTAGCATGCACTCTCTTACATTACATTTACATGTATCTTTGTTGATAGGAACAAAATCCAGTTTTAAGGTTGCATGTACACATTTATTTGTTATTATTATAACTAGACATTTCTTAAGATTGCCCTTGTCATCTGCGTGAACTTCTGTGCTACAATTAATTAGGATAATTACAAGTCATACCATCGACTTCCATCGTAGTAACACATTTGCATCACTGTTAATCTTAAATAGGAAAGATGAGTTTACTGTTTTAGCAATACCAATACAGTAGGTAAGTGTCTAGCATACAGTGATTCCAGTCATTTTTTTACCCTCTGAGTGCTATTGAATGGAACCTATCGCTTTAAAAAAGCTTCTACCAGACCAAACAATATTTATCAACAAAATCAACTGTAATCTCGTCTATTTTCATTCATGGCTTTTTGTAATTAACAAAGTAGCTTCTTCATGGTCTATTTCAAAAACACTTTAGATCGGTTACATGTCTCCATATCTGTTTATCAAATAAAGATAAGGCATTGCTATATTGTTCAGCCATATTAAAAACCATTTTAAGATCACAATCGGTAAGCTGTTGCCCATAATAATAAGAGAAGCAGTAAAAAATAATATATTCAATACCCCACTTTAGAAGTAATGGACATTAAAAATATTACCAATATTTTTCCTTCTAAATTAAAATTATCATAGGCGTCGAAAGCAAATTTCAAAGGTGTGTGTGTGGGGGGGGGGGGGGGGGGCTAAACCAACAAAAAAAGAAAATTCCTATTTTTTTTGTCTATATATGTATTGGATCAAAATGTTGAATAGGGGATGTACAAAAGCAATATGTAATAAAGATTCTGTGAAAGTTTCATTAAATTTCACTCAGTGGTATAAGAGGAGTTGCGGATAAGAGATAAGTATCCCAAGGCGTAACAGACAGACGGGAGGACAGACGGACAGACGGAAGGACATACTGATTACTATAAAACCTCCCACTTTTCAAGCGGGGGGTATGAAAAAGTAAATATATACATTGTATACATAAATGACCTGTTTATGAAATACAATATAATAATATCAATATACGAGTAAGATAAAGTAAGATGCGAGAAAATTTAGTCACCAGACGATTTATAATTAAATATTTTCTTGATAAAGCATTAATTTATACATATATCATTTTATACTGATGAACAAAGTAATAATGTAGCACATATGCCATATTTGATTACAAATTGGACAATTATACA